TATTGCATAGTCTTGAAACTGAAAGGAAATAGTAGCACTTACCCAGGCTTTATTTAAAATACCTGAGTGGTGTTTAGCCTGAGATTGGGACCACATACACAGAGGGCAGTGAGGAACTGGCTGCCAGAGAAGCTGTGGCTGCTCCATCCCTGGAGCTGTCCAAGCCAGGCTGGATGGGGCTTGGAGTAACCTGGGATAGTGGAAGGTGTCCCTGCTCATGGCAGGGGGTGGGAATGGAATAATCTTTGAAGGTCCCTTCCAACCCAAACCATTTTGTGATTCTGTGATCTGAGTGTAGCTTTTCTCTCACCCCTGCCCTTCCAGTGCTCCTGTGGGATGCTGCATTAGGTTGTTTGGGCATCTTCTGTGACAGGTAGGCATGAAGCATTTTCCTGGAATCAACAGACCAAAAGTTGTGGTTTCAAAAGCCCTCTCTATCTCTCTTGTGTGAGAAACATGAGATGTACCAAATTTACTTTTTTATATAATTATTAACACAAATGCAGCAAGGGGATGTGATGTGATGGAGCACAGTGCACACCTGAAACGTAGAAAATGTTTTAATTTAGTGCATTCACAGTGATGATTCCTCTTCAACAAGTGGGATCGAATCCACTGTGAAATAACTCGCAGCCTGGTGGTTGAGCAAGCCTACTGAGGACAGAAGAGAGATTTCCAGTTCATAGCTTGAATCTTCAGGATTAGTCCTAAATTGAGATGAAACAAAGCCTATTTTTCTTAAATAAATCTCTTTTACTACACAAGAAAAGATAAGGAAAGAAAAGAAAAGAAAAGAAAAGAAAAGAAAAGAAAAGAAAAGAAAAGAAAAGATAAAAAGGATGGTGCTCTGTAGCTGTTTATGGTGTTTCTGATCCTGTTATTTATGTTCCTAAGCAGAGTGGCAGGCTGGACAATGCTTGGCTCAGGATGTGTGTCACACACTGAGTTTGAGGCTCCAGGCTCTGTGTCAGCAGCCAGGATGGTGGGACAGGACCAGGCAGTGACCACTGGGACCTTTGCCTGTGCTTCCACAGCCCCAGCCTATGAAAGGAGCTCCTGAAAATACCCTGGGGAAGTTTAGGATAAACATGACACTTGACAGTGAGAGTTGGGATCCAGCACACACTGAGAGCAGACTGACTTTGCTGTGGAGATACTGAGAGATGGATGGTGTTGGACAAATTAGGAGATAATTACCTTTTTTCCTCTTAAAAATATATTTGCTGGCACTAATTTATCCTTTTAGCTTTTGTCTTTTACTGACTGATAAAATTATTCATAGTTTTATTGTTCTTGACATAACATGAGAGAATAGAAAATTATTTTCTTAATTAACACAATTGATAGTATTATCACTTTAATTGTATTAATCTTTCACATGAGCCCTACTGACTATGAGGTGACTCTGGGTCCATGGATATCTTTTGTTTCACTTTGCCATTTATCCCCTGCCATTAATCTGCTTTTACAAATAATTGCAGCACTTGTCTGTGGGCCATGACTTTGCAAACAATGTTTGACTTCTTGTGCTCTCTTGTCAAGTACATTAAAGCATTCCTGCCACAGTAACTTCCACAGAGGATTTTGACAGCATTTGAGAATAGTTCAGCTTCTGGGATTCCTATGGCACTCACTGCTGTTTCCCATAGTAAATAACTTTTGCCATTGAGCTACAACATGCTTTTAGCTTTTTCAGATTTTTTTAATGGTTTGCATTAATATTTCCTTCATTTGCCAGCAAATTTACAAAAATGAATTCCCCACTTCATGCTAGGTTGGCTGTTGTACATAAATTGGCCACCTCCACTTTTGGCTGGCTAACATAAGCACAGTGATTGTTTCCTTACTAATTTAGATTAATTACTAATTAAGATTTCTTACTAATTTAAATTCTTACTAACTTAGATTAAAGGCTTTAGCTTTTGCCACTGTGTACCCATATTTGTCTAAGTCCCATGTAAGAGGACACAATAATTTGAACCTGGGCTGCTACACCTCCCATTTGTAGCTTCCCAAAAAGTTTTAGAAGTTCCCAGGAACCTGCAGCAATGAAGATTGGTACAAGCACGGATCACTTGTGTTTCTATTCAAATAATATTTTATAGTCCCGGTTGCTGACTCATTAACTTTTAGGAGCTGTGTATCAGAAGATTTATGACCTTTATCAGGCATTTAATACTGTGATACCTTATAAAACACATGTATGAATAAAACCAACAGAGTTGGCAGTTCAAACCTTGGTTCCTGAAATAATGTATTTATGAAAATGCACATCCCTACATTTTCTAAGCTTTGCCTATTGGTATGAAAGTTATCTCTTCCCACATTTTTTTATCCAATATTTAGACACCAGATGCTGATTAGAATTATGGCTTTTCTTGACTTGGAATTTTGAGAGGACTAATTATTCTGCCATCATAATTACACACTTTTCTGTCTTATGCACTCTAAAAGTGAGATTGATTCTGGAATAATGCTTCATTTTGGGGAGCACAGTTAATTCCTGTCTAATCAGGACGATGAACATATTTTAAAGCCATAATCAAGTATTAACCCCCTGCATTATATGAAACTAACAATTTTTGTGTAAATCAAGTAGAGTTGTTTTTTTGTCTTATATCTGAAACTTATTCTTAATTCACCAGACATGATTTAAAATAATAAGGAAAGTTTGCATAACTACTTGGAAGTTAGACATTAATTTCCTTTTATTTTTGTTGAAAATTTTCAAGAAATAATGTGTTCTGTCTGCTTAAAGCTGAGATGAAGTGTTTCTTTTTCAGCAGCCAGAGAGGATAGCCTGTCACAACATTAATATTTACAAGCAGGTAAACAACTTTTATCAAATGGAGCAGCAAAATTTTCCCTGTCTAGGTGGACCAGAGGGGGCTGTCTCCTGTCCCAAGGCTGTGATTTGTCTGGAAAACCAGCACCTTTGCTTTAAGGCAGATTAAAAACCCAGTGTCTGCACTTCTGGCTGGATTTAGCATACACAGAAGTTGAAATTTCCTGTTTAAAGCTACTTTGTTTGTATGCTTGGACATGGCAGAATATTGTCCTTGAGGCACCTGATACTGACGTGAGTGGGAGATTCTACTGTGGCTCAAAGAGAAACATGCCCTTAAACACTCTGATATTTGTGCCAAACCCAAATTGTGCTGACAGGTCCCAGATGTGCTTTTCCATTTGCATCACTTCAGCCACCCACAAGGTTCAAATGCTGCAGCCACAGAGGAGCTTGGGACCCTGCAAGCTGGGGCACAGAAAAGCATCAGGATCCTTTTAAAGGCCAGGAGGAACCTGGATCAAGACCTGTGGCTGTGATAGGATGTACAGGATGATCCTGATTATTTCCCAGATTCATGCTTTAGTCCATCCTTTTCTACAAGTTGTTCTTTTCAGACTGTCCAGGCTGTTTGTTGTACCAGAGTACCTGATCCAAACATAGATGGTTGCTCTGTTGTCTGGAACACTGAATTTAAAAAATATATATTTTTTAATTAATCAGCCTTTTTTTTAATTAAAAGAAACAACAAAAAAAAAAAAAAAGAGAGGAAAAAAAGAAGACAATGAGGCTGCTGAACCTTAAATAGTTAACACTGCTTGGAGCCATATGCCTGGGTGACTTTTTGTTGTCTCCCATGTCTAGAGTAGAGTGTGCCTTCATGGTTCAATTCCCTTCAGTAATAGCTTTCTTTTTACTTTTTTTCCAAAGCTAGAAGGACAGTAGGGAGAGGGCTGTGAGTGTTTCAGGTGTGCATGGGTGTACCTGGCCACACAGGTCTGTTATTGGCAAGACTGCCTGTCCTCAAGATGCAGAAGAGAGAGAAAATGGGTAAAATAAAGAAATAATTTTTGTTTCTCATTTAGTCTCCCTCCAAGTTGTAATGTTGGGGGCAAAATTTTAGAGCTTCACAGGTTGTTCCAGGTCCCACAGCAAAAGTTATGGAAGCCCTGAGTCAAGTGCTAAGTTCCTGAGTGCCATTGCTGCCCCAGCAAGCACCAGCAGGAGGAATTGGGGTGTCTCAATGCCATAAATAGCTCCTGGCTGGGTGGTTTCAAGCATGGCAGAAATGTTTTTGTCTTATGCAGGAGTTCCTCACTTTATTTCTTAAGTTGTCCTGGAGGGATGATTTTCATTGGTGTTTGCCAGATTCTCATTTTCCCCTGCCAGGGTGCCCTTTATTTATATTAACACTTTTGACCTCAATAACGCATTTCCACACAAAAGAAAATGAAAAGAAAACCCCAAAGCCTTCCTAGACGACTCTACTATTTAATACTCCTGCTACTTCACAATTCCAATGGCCAATTATTGTTTACAACCATGGCCATGAGAAGTTATTTGCATTGGAACACAACTCCTAAGGAACTCTAAGGAGAATTTATGGATGTAATTTTTCACTTACCTGTAAAATTTGCAGAGCTCCCATCTGCAGACATAGTGCCCCCGAGGATACAAAGGAATTGCTGGGACTGTCTTGTGGATAATTCCCAGTTTCTTGGCATTGTGAGAACCATGTGAATAGACAAAGACAAAGTTGCACAGAGCCAGGTCCATATTTCCTCCAGTCCTGTCATGAGAATGAACAGAGCAGCCCCTGCCCCTCCTCTTCCCTCCATGAGGATGTTGAAGACCCCAGCGATGTCTCCCCTCAGTCTCCTCCAGAGTGAACAGACCATGTCACCTCAGCTGCTCCTCAAAGGCTTCCCCTCCAGACCCTTCACCCTCCTCTGGCCTCCTCTGGGCACTCCAACAGCTTGATCCCTTTTTCCTGTTGTGGTCTCATGTGAATAAAGATGTTCTTGGATAAAGTAAGTCATTACCTAAATCATGGCATGATGCTTTTTGTGGGTTTGAATAGTATTCTGAAATGCCCTGGGAGGTGTCAGAGCAGCATTGAAGATGGGAAGATGGATCCTGTGTATGAACAAAAATATCTTCACAGTTTCTAACAGCAGGTGTGATCTGTTGCAAACTCTGTTCTTTTGTTTTTCAGGCACTTATCTGGACATGAGTGGGATGGCTTCATACCACAATTCTTCCCAGGAAGAATACATCCCACACTATCTCCAAAAGGAAGACCCCTTTGCATCAAAGCTCTCCAGAGAAGCTGACATCATAGCTGGCTTTTATTTGACAATAATTGGTAATGATTTTATAACTGGTCTTTGAAATATGACTATGCTCTTGCAAGTTCTCAGAAAGGAGGCAGAAACTGCTGTTCTTTAGTTGGGTAATTACACATTTTTTCATACTAGAAAGAGAAATCTAGGAGGGAGGAGAGATTATGTGTTAGAAATATAGTTAATATAGTTAGAAATATGGTAAATATCAACAGATAATGCTACTGCAGGCAGCCAAAAGTGACTAGCAGTAGATGTTCCAGCAAAAAGTGAATAATTCCTCATTGTTTTTAATAACTGATAGGTTGCTACTCTGCAGTTTAATTTGTCCCTGGGCAGAATAGGGTTTCCCTCACTATGCCATGTGGATTTTATGGCCTGTTTTCACAGCCTCCCTCATGAGCCTGCACAGCAGTGAATACCCTCAGATGTGTTCATGTGACCCTTGCTCAGCTCCTGGCATCATCTCTCCTCTGTCACACATCATATTGAGCAATATTTTCTGCCCAGCACCCTCCTCATCCTTTTGTGTTGGAGTCCTTTACAAGGTTCAAAGTGACCTTGCAAGCAGAATAAATGCAATTATCTATTGGTTAGTGCACACCCATGATAGCTGTTTTTTCTTGACAGTATTACATGCCAAGGAGTTATCATTCAGCAGGAAAATGCTGGTCTCTGTTTCTTCTAGGGATAAACCCGGCCTTATTCTTGATGATTTGCCTTCTTTACTTTATGGAGGAGGGCATACTTATGTATTTTTGTGTCCATATTTGCCTCAACACCTGAAGGAATGGCATGAAGCTGAGTCAGGGCAGGTTTAGGTTGGATGTTAGAAACAAGTTTTTCACCCAGAGGGTGCTTGGGCACTGGAACAGCTCCCCAGGGCTGTGGTCACAGCACCAAGCCTGACAGAACTCAAAAAGTTTGGGCAAAGCTCTCAGGCACAGGGTGGGATTCTTGGAATTTTCCTCTGCAGGGTCAGAAGCTGGACTTCAATGATCCATGTGGGTCCTTTTCAACTCAGGATATTCCATATTCTATTCTATTCTATTCTATTCTATTCTATTCTATTCTATTCTATTCTATTCTATTCTATTCTATTCCATTCCATTCCATTCCATTCCATTCCATTCCATTCCATTCCATTCTTCTTTATATATTTTAAGTTCCTTTATGCTTTATGGTCTTAGTTCAGCAGTTTCTCACAGCTCAACTGCTATTTTCTCACTAAAACTGATCTGAGGACAGAACTGTTCTGAAAAATCCTGGGCTCCAGATGTCAGATGTCTAAAGACAAGGCTGAAAACCGGGTGTACAGTGATTCTTTGACATTTATTTCAGTTTTGATGCATTGTCTTGTTCAATGAGTTGTTCACAAACTATCAAGATCTGTCAGTCAGCCTCACCTTTGTGCTTCTCATTCAGTACTTTACATTCCCCCCTCCTATTCTGTCTTACTGCTTTTTGTCTGACTGATGTAAGTAATGTAATCTTTTCCACAGTGGAGGTAGCAGAGTTTTTATTATTATTTCCCTTCTCTTTCTGTTTATTTCTCATTTCTCTTCTGCTTATGTCTTTATTGAAAAAACGAATTCAGAGCAGCAGAGGTGAAGGTTGAAGCTGTATCTCAGTGCTGTTGTTGGTGTTCATACACTGTTTTGTAGGTATCTTCACTTTTCACACGTAAATTTTTTTTCTGTTGCTCTGCAGACAGATGTCTTCACTGAACTGTACAAAACAAACTCCACTTTGGGTCTTTTTTCACTTGGTTAAGTAAATTCAGCTTTAATCCCAGGAAATATGTCTGATGGATGAATCCTCTCAATATACACTGTGATGCCTTGTTATATTCACTGTATTTAGTGTAGATTTATCCTGTTACAAAAATTACGCCTGTCAGGTGTGAAACGTCTTTAAAATCACAGACATAACCAAATTAAGGCAAGGAACAAGAATCAAAAATTTCCGGTTAAAAGCCAAAATCCAGCCAGAAAGGCACAAACTTTCATGAGCAATGTGAGGAAACTGAAATTATAATTTTAAAAGCTCTCATAATCATTTAAATATTGGACTTGTGAACTCATTCTATCCAGTGGCCTGGGCCCGGGTAGTTCAAGCCACAGCTCTGCTGTACCTGTATGTATCTGTACACATAATATCCTACACTTAGCTCTAAATTAAGTCAATTTTTGAAGTGTTTGTTTTTCATTGCATTTTACTTGGTTAATTGCTTTGCCCTTGTGTGCATAACAAACTTCACTAGTGGCTTTCATTAGAGCCAGTTATGGTTTTCCCATATCCATATAAATGCTGTATTTGCACGTTCCTTGGATCTATAGGATAAGGAGGTTAGGAAAAAATTCTTCACTAAAAGAATGGTTGAGCACAGGAATGGATTGCCCAGGGAATGATGAAATCTTTAGCCCTGGAATGGTTCAGAAAATGAGGGGACGTGGCACTTCATGGTATGGCTTGGTGGTGTTCAGTCAAAAGTTGGACTTGATCACCTTAGAGGCTTTTTCTGACCTAAATGATTTTAAGATTCCATGTCTATGTTTTTTTATTATGACTTGTGATTTAGACTGAACCTATCACATTTTTTTCCAGTGAGCTGCATTTCCTACTCCTTTGCAGATCACTTCCAAGAAATTTGGCCCCTCCTGAGGATGACCTGCAGGGGCATCCTGACAGCAGGGAAAGGGCAGCAGGAGGTGGGAAGTCAGGACAACTTTTGTGCATGTCTTTGCACTTGAGCTGTGTAAGGTGCTAGTGAGCTTAAAATTTCATTCAGATAGGGGAAGAAGCTGAACAGTGAGTGAACAAGGCTGGATTTTATCAGGAAACTGCAGAGCTTTTAGGGTCAGACTGGTTGTACAGCTAAAGTATTGCAGTTTGAAATAGAAAAATAATTGGGGTTTTTTTAAGAAAATCAGGAGTCTTGACTAGTCTGACAAATTCTATGTGAGCACATGATCCTTTGTCCTGAATAGTTCATTTCCATGTGTAGCTTTCTAATTGTCCAGGAAAAAAAAAATTCAGACTATGCACATGGTTATAAGAATCCAATTCTTTTGTCTTTGTCACTTCCCCCACCAGCTTTTTCATCACTGTCTTGATTGATTCACTGTACAGCTGGGCAGGGTGACAAACTACTGAGCAGGGACCTGCTGGCTGTCAGCTCCTCTGAAACCCCTTGGCAAATCACTATTGATTTACAAACTGTTGTGAAACAGCTTAATTGAAAACTGAACTACCTTTTTTCCCTCTTTTTTTTTTTTTTTTTTTTTAAATTTCATTTTCTCTGATGGTTTAGTGCTGCTGTCAGGTTGAAGAAGTGGAAGTTTATTTCTCCATTTGGCTACGTGTAAACCCTTTCCCCTCTCTCTCAGGTTGTGTGTCTCAGCCTGGCTCTGTCTCTGCAGGTGTCACATTTTTAGTTATCACATCCTTGGCTCTTTGTATATATGTAATAGTACCACGGTGCCATGCACAGCTCTCCTGGAAAAGAACCTCTATTTTATATCTAAAATGTCTTTTCCCCCTGTTTCCAACCTACCAGAGCTGGGAGCCTGCTCCAGAAAAGGCTTTAGCTGACTGCAATGATTTCATAGCAGGAGAAATGGAGAATTAGATGCCTCATCTAAGGAGGTTAAAAAGTTTTCACCACCAAGGAGTTAAAAAAAGATTCAGATAAACAATTTTCAGATGCAGGCATAGACAAAAGGCAACACAAATTATCAGTGGACCCCTTCCAGCCACGGCATTAGGAGCTCAGTGGGCTGGGGCTCTGTGAAATATTGATATTAATAACAAGCAGTGGTTGCAGAGCAACTTGGCAGCTTCAGAGCTACTTGGCTGATAGAGATGTCTCTCTAGACTGCCAGTCAGTTGAAAAAGATTCAGGAAAATGTCAAATGCTTTCAAAAGGTATTTCAAACTGGATGCTGGCATTCTAGTTATCCTAAATATCACTGGAGAGGAAAATGGCATTAAGAGAGAAAAGGATTAAAATATATGAAAAATGCTCACAGCATTGAGATTCATTCACTCAGCTGCAAGGAAGAAAATGACTCATATGAATATTTCTATCTGCTTATAGGTTGTTCTTAAAATTTAATTCACCAAGGGTAAATCAAATTTGATGAGAAAACTGAAGATCAGTAATAAGCCAGTTTCTATCCTGTTTATTTTGGACTTTGATACCCCATCAGCTGAGGAAAGTTGGGTTGTTTATTGTTGGAACCCTGAAGCCTGGGAGTTTTAAACTTTCTGTGCTTTCTGGCACTGACCCTCAAAAGAACTCTGCTTCTGACCCGAGACCTTGGAGAAGGCTCCAGATTTGAGTGATAGAATCCCTGGTGTGTAGTTAGAATAGAAGTGTGTGCTTTCACATGGTGAAGGGTTTGGAATTTGGGGTTTTAGAATATAGAAATAGGTATGGGACAAGATGGAGGTTCTTGGGCTTTGTGCCTTTCTTCCTTCTTGTTCCTTCTTAGTTTCAGGTAATAGTTTTTGGTTGGATAGAAAGTATTGCAGTGTGGGTCACAGGTGTTTGGTTATCAGGTCAAAAGTATAAATAATACGGATATTAGCTTTTCATTGGATGGTTAGGCTTTAAATGACCTCGTAACTAGCTAGATCTACATTTTCTTGCTTTTAGCTTGTTAGGTAGAAGTGCTGCAGAACTCTCTGTACTTTAAATAAGAATTAATAAACAGCTGAGTCTGGACAAAAAAATCTGTCTCTCATACATTCAATCCTGACTCTGAGTAAAGACAGAAGCAAAAAGGAGCTAGCCACTAATATGTGGAGCCACTAATAGTTTGTGACTTTTTTCAGAGTAGTGTGATGAGTTGTCCTCAGCAGGTTGCCAAGCACTCAGGGCAAACCTGAGAGAGGGACAGGGAGGAACCAGGCAGAGAAAAAGCAGTGGAGATGAGGACAGGGTGGGGATAAAGACGGGGAGATCCACTCTCAGCTACTGCAGTGAGCAAACAGGCTCCTTGAGGGGAATAAACTCAGGATCATAGAATCACAGAATGGTTTGGGTTGGGTGGACCTTAAAGATCATCTCATTCCAACTCCCATCATGTTCCAACCCCCAAAGCTTAATGTTTAATTACTGGTTTAGGCAGTGAGAAACAAGGTGTCAGACCTAAAATACTTATGGAAAACTCTCTTCCTCACCCTTTAAATCCAAAATACTTATGGAAAACATCCTTCTTCACCCTTTAAACCCAAAATATTCATGGAAAACACCCTTCTTCACCCTTTCCTGGGCTGAACTTCTCTGCAACATTTCCCTCACTGCTGTTGTAGGTCCCTTTGGTGAGGCAATGGCAGCACAGTCACTCTTTGCTCTTCACTCTTCTCTTCTGCATTTCACTCCTCATGTGTCTCCCCTGATCTGGTGTGGGGCTCAGTGGATCATGGCCCCTTTGGGTTTTTCACCTTCTTGCTCCATGAGAGGGATATTGTGTGCTGTCCTGTGAGAGCAAAACTCTCACCTTAAACTCTCTCAAACATGAATTAGTGAAGACACATTTCCTTTAAGGGAGCTGGAAATCCTATAATTTTCTGTACCAGTATGATTAATTCCATGGCAGATGAACCATTTGCAGTGCCAGTACTTGCAGGTCCTTGGGTGATGATATGGAAAAAGATTCTCAGCCAATATGAGAAGGATCCCATGCACTGAATTCCATCTGGAAGTTAAAATCAGATTAATCACTTTTATTTTATGATTTTTCTTTCTTATGATAGAAATAAATTTTAATGCAAGATTTAAGATCTGGTATTAATATATTAATTTAAATTAAACTAGCAATTTATCCCTCAACGTCTGATTAAAGTATTTAATAAAGTTGAAATTGGTCAGATTCTGGTTCCTGTGATTACAGAGAGCTGAATTTCATTATTGTGACTGTATAAATGTTTGAGTGAGAACTGGGTTGGTCAGAGCAGAGGGATTCTGAAATTTTTGTTATGAGCATTCTGTTGATGGCTGTGCAGGCTCAAGTGGTGAAAGCAATGCCCTGCTGCAGAGGGGAAACAGAATTTCCTGTGAGAGGGATGTGTCTGCAGCCGAGCTCTCTATGAGCTGCACAATGACAACGAGGGGATGACATTTCAGAGTAAAATGCCCAGCATTAGGGACCACAGGTTGAGGCTGAAAATGTCAGGGAATTTCACAAGGAAGACGGAGTATTGCTGTTTTTGAGGATGATTCTAACTGGAATGTTATTCTATTTTCCATTATTACAGGGATCCTTTCAACTCTGGGAAATGGGTATGTTATTTTTATGTCCTCAAAGCGAAAAAAGAAGCTGAGACCTGCTGAGATAATGACTGTTAATTTAGCAGTGTGTGATCTGGGCATTTCAGGTAATTTTATGTTTTTATTCTCCCTTGTTTTTGCTATCTCACCATTCTGCCCGGCAGCAGCCAGAGACATTCCTCTGGAAGTCATGGGAGCACCAAATGCCTTTTGCTGAGGATATTTCTATTATTTGCATATAAATAGTAGAGGAGGATGGAAAACAACATTCCTGAACAACTTGATGGGAAGAAATGAACAGAACAGAGGAAAAATTAGCGTTGATTTTATCAAACAGGCAGAGCCCCTGTTCACCCCAGCACTGGGCAGGTCTCCAAAGGCAGCTTCCATGTGCACCCTGGCACAATAACCACAAAATAGCTCGGTATTACAGGTGCAGAAAATTACATTTTCTTGCTATGGGGTGAAATAGAAAGGATCCAAATGCCTCAAAAATACATGTTTAGCCAAATAATTGGAATATGCCCGTGGCCATCATCCCACCAAAGCTGTTAGTTTTCTCTCAAGTGGCCATCCTCCTTTGTCTCTGGATCAGAAAAAATAAGCATTTGTGTCAATCTGTAGAGGATGAGCCAACTGGGAGGATTTTTGTTTCAACCCCACAGTTTGGAAGTCCTGGCACTGGAGGAGGGAGCTTTGGAGAGGATGTTTTGCATCCAGAGCTGCAGAGATGGTTGTTTTGGCTCTTGACATGAGATTGATTCATCTGCTCATGGGTAAATACAGGGAAAGGGCTGGATGTCCTTTAGAAAAGGATATTTTGGATGGCAGACAGTCCAATGGGTATCAGGACCCAGCTGACCATGGGATCTCCCCAGTGCCATATAAATAGAATTATATTCCCATGCTTGCAGAGTCATCTGTCCCCTATGTGTTGTATACACTGGGACCTCTGTCCTCAGCTCCAGTGCACCTTTTTCCTGCCCTTGTCTCTGCCAGATGCTTTAGCCCCATCTAAATGCCAAAAATATCACTGAAGAATAAAAAATGATGGCTCCCAGCCTTCCCAGACTGATGCTTGTTTGAGCTCTCATGGCACAAGACCAAAGATCTGCTCATCCCTGCAGATTCCAGTGGTTTTAGTCAGTAAATATTAATTTCTGAAGGAAATACCAGTTCAGTAGAAGAAAGATGTTGGTATAAATATCACTGCTACCACACAGAGAAATCCCAGTGATTTCTCTGGCATTTCTGTCATGGGCACACTACTTCCCTCTCTCGACACTTAGAAGTTAAGGAAAAACCCCAGGCTGGCTTTTTGCTCCTCTCTGATATTCCCATTTTCTTTGTGTTTTAAGAATCTGTATTATAAAGTTCATATGAGTCACTCCAATGAGAAGTAGTGTTTCAGGAGAATTTCCCCAGCTTTATATTCTGAATGTTGCCCAGAGAAGCTGAGGCTGCCCCATCCCTGGCAGTGTCCAAGGCCAGGTTGGATTAGTCTTGGAGCAACCTGGGATAGTGGAAGCTGTCTCTGCCCATGGCAGGGGATGGAATGAGAGGATCTTTAAGACCTTTTCCAATCCAAAATATTCTGTGATTCTATGAATTTTAACAGGTATCTCCTAACCATAAAAACTGTGTGTCCCAACCATTCAAACTACAGCTTGTTTGGGGCACCACCTGGTCATCTTGCTTTCTTCCACAGGATCTCCATCTGGGTTTAAATTTTGGAATTCAGAATAGTGATTGCCAGAGCCATGCTTGGTTTTATCTGCTCTTTTTTTTTTCTTTTGTCTTTTTTTTTTTCTTTTTTTTTTGGTTGTTGTTGTTAATGGAAGGTGCTAAGTGCTAAGTTGAGAAATGTGATGGGTTCTGTCTGCTGGACAAACTGAAGATAGGATTTTTTTCTGCAAAATCTTCATATTTCACACCCTTGTTTTAACAACTTTTTGAAGAAAAATTCTGCTTCCTGCAGATTTCCACAGGGTGGCACCAGCCCCTTGTCCAAAGCTGCATCAGGCTCAGTTTGCTCTGGCCTGGGCTGCTCCGAGTCCTGCTGCTGAAGAGAAATTTGATTTTGTACATAGAAATGTGTTGACCTTTAGAGCTGTCAGTCACTTATATGCCTAAAGCTGCTGACTTCATTGTTAGCACATGACATTCACCTTGCCATATTTAATGTTTTTCTTGAAACCTTCATCACCAAGGTCAGCTTTTGCTTGAAAAATTAAAAGTGCATTTATTCTGCTCAGAGAAAAGCACATCATACATTGACCTGAACACATCCTACAGGTCCAGGCAGAACTTTCCTCACAGGCTTAGGCTGAAGGAAAGTAATCAAAAAATACCTTTTTAAAAAAATGCATCTGATTTTGAAGGGTTTCAAATCCTGATGCTTTTGGCATAGAAGATGGAGCAAAGGTAATTTTCTGCAAGATTTGGTTTTGGAAGAAATGATTTAATTTTCTGTTAAGAATGAAAAGAGAATGTGTGGTTTTACATCAGTTCAATGTGAAATTGAATGTTTTTAGGAAAAATATTTTCCTACAGATCACTTCAACAAAATAGAGATTTTTGTCTTGGTTTCTATGAATAGGTTATGTTGTAGGAAATACAGTTTGCAAGATAATTTTTGCCCTCTTCATAAATCAATTCACTGAGTTTCTGTGACATTACAGACACTGTGGTTCAGCCAGGGAAACCAGCCCAGGGAAGCTGAGATGTTTTCAAATCCTGCTCCTGTGCAGGAAGGAATACAGTCACAGGAAGGTGCAGTTCAATATTTAATGTTGTTTGAATGTTGCAGTTGGAATGTTCAGGCCTGGCAGAATTTAAGATCAGGCTGGTAAGTAAAACGGAATCGTTTGGAAAACGGGTGTCTCTAGATTATAAATTTTTGAGTTTTCTATGCCATTAAAGTTGATTTTTTTTTCTTTGCCTAAATTAAGACCAAGAAAAAGGCAATAATTAGGAGAAAATGGAGATTTATGACTAGATAATTACAATTTTCAAACATTCTCTTTGTCGCAATACTTACAAAGAATATGAAAAATGTGAAGCTACTTTAAGGTGAGGATGGAATATCATTTGACCAAACTTCACTTCTTTCATAATGCAGCACTCACTTTTACCTGTGGAGAAATGAGTGAGCTAAAGTGCCACTAAGAGAAAGCCTCAAAAATATTTACTCATTTCCCATCTCTTTGGGGAAGCTTAGAATGTTTTGGGATCTGTGTGCAGTGACTTGCTAGGAGGCACCAAAGGAATGTGTAATGTGGAGAGGAGCTGAAACCACCTCTGCAGCTCAAATCCATATCTCTCCTTCCCACCTAACACTTTACCTCACTGTGTATCCTGCTGCTGGGCCTTGGCAGGTTTGAAAAAAGAAGTTTGTGAGGGCAAGTTTCTTTACCCTGTGCTGGAAGACACCCAGTTGGCTACAGGGATGTAGACTAAGTAGATCTGGGCTTGTTTTAAGCTCTGACTCACCATCATCCATCCTGTTCAGGTACTGGCATGTGGATTTAACACATACTCTGAAGGTTTCATAACGAGAAGAGTCTGCCCATGATTAGTTCCAGAGTGTTGGCTCACCTCTGGTTCCTGTGGTTTACAGTAAAGCACCTGTTCCCAGCCCTTCTGCAGGCTTGGCTCGTCCTGCCACATCACTGGTGCCCTGGGATGCAGCCACACCTGTCTTAGGCTCAGTCCTGTGCACGGAGGGCTCACAAGCCATGGGATCACAGGATGGTCTGGGTTGGAAGGGACCTCAAAGCTCATCTTATTCCAGCCCCTGCCATGGGCAGGGACAGGGTACCAGGTTGCTCCAAGCCTCATCCCACCTGCCCTTGAACACTTCCAGAGATGGAACATCCACAGCTTCTCTTGGCAACCCATGGCAGTGACTCACCACCCTCACAGTAAAGATTTTCTTCCTAATAACCCATCTAAATTTACACTCCAGCCTAAAGCCATCACATACTGTGCCTGAAGACGTTTCTCCACATTGCAGAGCACTTTTATGGGTATTAATTTTCTGCAAGGGAGAGGGTTTGCCTTTCTGAAAAAAGGATATTTTCTCAAGGATGGATTTTGCCAGTGGGCTGACATTCTCTTCTCGTTTTGAAGTTGTAGGCAAGCCCTTCAGCATCATCTCCTTCTTCTGCCACCGCTGGATGTTTGGGTGGATTGGCTGCCGCTGGTATGGGTGGGCTGGATTCTTCTTTGGCTGTGGGAGCCTCATCACCATGACAGCTGTCAGCCTGGACAGGTACCTGAAAATCTGCCACTTGTCTTATGGTAAGACAAATATACATCTGTGTATAGATAACTGTATTATCTGTGGCTGTAGAAAAGCTGTACTAAGTGCTATAGTTTACTACACTGAAAGAATAATTAAACTCTTCAGATTACTTTTCTTAAGTATACAGGGGGTACACAGGGGAGAGAAACATGTTTGCATGATGCAAGAAATCCCAGTTAAATTCATTTTGCTGGATGTATCACCCTCACTGTTGTCCCTCTGCTGTCTCCTTAAGCCATGAGTTTTTGTAACCCCTCATAGACAAATCACTTTATGTCTATCAAGGCCTATTAGCATTAACAGAACCAAGTACTGCATATATTGCAGGGTCTTATGGACCAACACACAAAAATATTCCTTATTAGATGCCTAAATTCCTCTGTGGTGTGTGGCAAGCTATTTAAAACACTGAAGATATTTGGAAGGGCAATAAGTCATAATGTGAAATAGTCTCTTAAATTTGGAAATGGAACCTGAGAGGATGAAGTGAATTTAGCAGTATGAGGTGTTACCACCATATCCATCAATATCTTGTACCTCTGGAATATGATATATTATATGCTTCATCCTTTCCAGTTAAATGTTATTGTCACAGTTTAGAAAATATATTCTTCTTACATTGTAAGGGACTAAATTCCCATCCTAATACAGGGAATGCTCAAGGTGACTTTACAAGTAATAAACACCTGGCCCGTGTGACTTGAGGGACACAACAGATTTTTTTATGATGACATGTAATATTGGTCATGTTAAGTTGTAAGGAGTGTTTGCAGCTAGGAAGTGTAAGTAAGCCAGTCTGTGCTGATCAAAGCTGTGCTGCTGTGCTAAGGTGTCCTGTCATAGACCCTGCTGTGTCCATACTTTTTCCCTGAATGGGAGTGCAGGGGAGGACTCCTTAGCTGAGTTTTAGATACACCACTAATATTAAGCAGGATTTCAGTTCTTTCCATAGAAGCTTTCTCAAAAAAATTCAGAGGCAACCCAAATCACAGACAATTTTTCACAGACTTGGTGAGCTGAAGTGAATATTTCATGGCTGGCTGCATTCATGCCACCAGCTGTGGTGTTTAACATGGCATCTTAGTTCATGGGACAGAAAACTCTTCAAAACCTTTATTTTCAAGGACTTTGATCATGGTGGGCTGTATAAAATGATGGAGAGCAATAAACAGATGTGTTTATCATGCTCAGTGTAGGTGGTTAAAAATGTTTCTCTTTTAATAATTATGCTATTATTGCTTTGTTTTTCCACCCCTGAACACAACAAACCACCTTTCTGTCTCTCAGCCATCACACATGAATACATCATTTGTCAGGCAATGTTCATTTTCCTTCCAGTGACCTGGACATGTAAAATCAGCTGCGAAGGGAAGCTGGACACCTCCAAATTACAGGTGTTTCTTTTTTAGGGTTTTACTTTAAGTCACTCTGAAACCCTGAAGAAATCTCCTTAACGTTAGTGTGAAGCACGTGAGTCTGAGGCTGCAAACAAGTTGGGAGTCCCAAGATGGAAGATGTTATTACATCATATTCCAAGCTTCTGCGAAAATTAAAGATTTAAATTTGTTATTCCTATCTGAGTCCTACATGCTGAACATGTAGATGATGATTAAAACTGAAACTTTTTCAAGATGAATTAGATCTGTATGCAAGATGAGCAGAGAGACAATGTTTTAATCTCCAGGAATTCTATTTCCATTTAATTTAAAAAAGGGGCAAGGATACATGAAAACACATATTTCAGATACATCTGACAGGACATATATGGTGATTTTCTGTACTGGAAAAGAATGAAAAAGTAAAATGAAACCTTAGATATCTTATTTCCACTGTAAAGCCTTGTTTTTCAGTCACTGAATTTGAACTTTAGCCAAGTAACAGGAGAGAAAGAATAGGAAAAAAACCTAAGTTACAGTAAAGAACTGAAATTACTGGACAAGATTCCCACGACTATTGCTGAGCTGGTTGTTGGATTTCTTTAGTTTGGACTCTTCTCAGTTGTAATTCATCACAAATTAAAGCAAAGATGTGAAATAAGGACAGGTGGAGCCTTCTATATAAATGTGCCTTTGTCTTCATGAGGCACAATGTGAGCTCAGGGTCACTATGCAAACCTGCAAAAACCCAAGATGAACACAACAGTCAAACAGCCAAAAAAAGTAATATTTCATGTAATCATAGAATGGTTTGGATTGGAAGGGACCTCAAAGACCATCCAGTTCCAAAGGCCCCACAGGACAGCTTCCAGTAGAGCAGATTGCTCCAGCCACATTGTCTTGGTTTGAAAGAGCCATTTGGTAAGAAAGGCAGGAACCTTTCTTGAAATAGACAATATAATCCCCCTCCCTCCAAATTATTATAATTTTGAAATTAAGGAGCTCTCAGGCAAAGAGATGGGAATAGGAATAACAGTTCTTTACTAAAAAATTAAAATAGAAATACAGTATTATAGAAAAAAACTAACCCAAAATCACTGACAGAGTCAGAATACAACCTGACCCCCCATCAGTCAGTCAGGGTGTTGGTAGCAGTCCCATTAAATGGTGGATGCATCCTCCTGGATGACAGATGTGGTTCAGCTGAAGCAGTGCTCCTGCAGAAGGTGAAGTTTTCCTCTGAAGGTCCAATGATGATGCAGAAGGGTCTGGTTTTCCTCTGGAATCCAGTGGGAAAAGGCTGCTCTGGTGTTCCAGATCTCAGTTTTTATCTAGGTAGGAAAGGCTTGGCTCCTCCCCCTGGGTGGAGCATCTCCCAGTGGGATGATGTAATTTTATCAGTTGTGCAGTGGGACTCCATGGCCCATTAACAGAAGATATCTCCCTGGAGGAAGGATGGGTTGTGGAAAAGATAAGGATCACTGCCCCACCTGGTTTCCATAGATGGTGATAGAATACAAACTTCTGGTTACATCCTGCTTTGCAAGGCAAGACACTCATCCAGCCTGGCTTGAGCTCTTCCACACATTCCATCATGCCAAACACATCTGGACATGGACTTGTAACTCTTGAATTTTCTTCCAGGTACCTGGCTTAAGAGGCACCATGCATTTATCTGCCTGGCAATAATTTGGGGCTATGCCACGTTCTGGGCTACAGTGCCTTTTGCTGGGCTGGGGAGCTACGCCCCCGAGCCCTTTGGGACCTCGTGCACTCTGGACTGGTGGCTGGCACAGGCTTCAGTGGCTGGACAGGCTTTTGTTCTGAGCATCCTTTTCTTCTGCCTCCTGTTCCCAACTGCAGTGATTGTGTTTTCCTATGTCAAAATAATTTTAAAAGTCAAATCATCCACCAAAGAAGTTGCTCACTACGATTCCAGGATTCAGAACAGCCACATACTTGAAATGAAGCTGACCAAGGTAGGTAGGAATGTTTTCTTCAGTTTGCTGTGTTGGGTCAGAGAAGCAGATTTGGAGGCAATAACATGATGCTCTGAAGATGGTTTTTGTAGCTTTCTGCCCTGTTGCTGTTAAGATGGGGAAAAAACAGGAGTGGAAACATAATTCTGTGACGAGGGCACTTGGGTCCCTGAGATCATGATTCCCTCTGAAGCTCTGCCTCAGCTTTCCCCTGTGACCTTACAAGTCATGTCATCTCCCTGTGGCCCTGCTCCCCACCACGGAACACCTTTTGCTTTCAGAAAGAGTTGTAAAGGGTAATTTAGGGTGTTTGATGTGCACTGGAATTATAACAGAAAACAGATAGAGAGCAGATTATTGAAACAGGGAAATAAAACTTTCAGACAGTTTACGTTCCTCTGTTAATGAAGATATAAACCAAAATTGGTCCTGTGACACTGCAATTGTTTTTATGCAAATAATTTATCAGTTAAGCTCAGCCATGAACTGCAGATAAAAATGCTGAAATGTTAAAATTAATTTTCCATCTCAGACCAAATCCTGTTTTCCCTTTCTGATTGAATATATTTTCTGTTTGGCAGTGGTGACAGCCATGATACTTGATACTGGTTATCGTGCCAGGAAATCTCTCAAAAGAAAGCCTTGTATTGAACAAAATCAGATTCTTTGGCTGTAAAAGATTTACCAACCTCTGTAAGCCATGCCAAGACTGAGACAAGGAGCAAGTTTTGCTTGCTGATCTAATTTTATTGCAATTTTGTGAGTTGAACTGAGAGTTATATAACATACAGCAATAAGGGAAATTATGTCTAAACACATCTGAAAATCTCGGCTATGTACCTGCACAGCCAGTGCTGCCAGTACAGCTGGTACAACTGCACTTGCCTTTCAAAAGGATGTTTCAAATTGTTACTTTTTTTTTGATGATTATTCAGCAAATTTCCTTTGAAGAGCAATGGAAATCCTTTTGATTTGAGGCTGCAGATTTTTTTTTTTTTTTGCATATTGTTAGGACCATGTAATGTGATCTGCATTTCAACACCAGTAACTTTCCCTCCTGTCTTGGATCTACACTGGAGAACAAAATATTGGGGTAAATATAAATATGGAAAATTAGTCTCCCTTATAACCCTTTTGACTCCACAGCATAATTTATGACAAGCAGGCTGTGTTTGAGATCTTTGGCTCACCTGCACTGTTCCTTCAGTGGCAGACAACAAAAAGAACAGGCTACAGGAAAGGTTAGGCAATGTCCAAACCCATTGTGCTTTCTGGTGAATTATTTTTGTAATCTGATCCTGTTCATTGCCTTAATCCAAATAAGTGCACATGTGCTGCTACCAGTCTGGCTGCTGCAATAATCTGTCAATGGCAGCAGTATAAAGGCAGATGTTTTTCAGGATGTATGATGGCATGGCATCATTTGAAGGGATATCAGGCTGTGACCGAGTGCACACAGGCTGGTTCAGGTAAAGTATACAAATCACAGATTTTGGCCCCAAACAGTTTCTCTTTAGTATTTATATGAAACTTTCTTATGGTTACATTTCCTCACATTATAAGGAGGTCACTTACTAATTTACCAGAAACTTATTTATCAGAACTAAAATATTTAACATAAATTTGATTTGAAGTATCTATTTGTGCTTCTAATGGAGCACAAATCCATTATATATATGGGTTAGGAGAAATAAATCTAGACATTTTACTAGCATTCTGACTCTCAGTTAAGATCCCAGTTTTCAAAAGATCTTTTTTCAAGAACCTTTGCAGCTCTGCTATTATCAGTATATTATCCTAAAAAGAAGATTCTGTGTTTCGAAAGGAATCCTCTCTTTAAATAATATGAATTCAATTTCAAACTATTGTTATTTTCTGAAATCTCATTTACTTTCCTCATGTTTAGCCAGACTTTACTGTATTTTTAAAGGTCTGATAGCAGACTCAGCTGCTCTGTATCAGGCAAAAGAAACACAGGCACGAGATAAAGAGGCAGATTTTGTCCATATTGTAAATTTGCATGGAAAAGCAAGTTCTCATTCTTCTTTTCCATTCGGTGGAATGCAATTGCCTCGCATTCTGCCTGGCTCCGTGCTGCTCTGCCCCGCCTGGCTCTAAGGATAAACGCTGCTGTCTCTTTTCTGCTCTCACAAGGTGGCAATGTTGATCTGCGCAGGGTTCCTCATCGCCTGGATCCCCTACGCCGTGGTGTCGGTCTGGTCAGCCTTTGGGCAGCCAGACTCGGTCCCCATCCAGCTCTCAGTGGTGCCAACGCTGCTGGCAAAGTCAGCAGCCATGTACAACCCCATCATTTACCAGGTCATCGACTGCAAGTTCGCCTGCTGCCGCTCAGGAGGGCTGAGGGCCAAGAGCTCTTTGAAGAAATCAAGGTAATTTCTTCTCTGGGGAGTAGGATTCCTTTAAGAACACGATGTTCCAAAAAGTACCAAACTAAGATCTACCAAGAATCACAGCTCACTGAATCTCATTTCTTGGGTTTGACTGCGACCATTTTGATTTGGGATTTTTCTTGCTGTGAGAATTTATAAAGTCACTGTAGATGTAAAAGGAGAAGCAAGAAGACAGTCCTTACTTTTAGATCCAGCTACAACTCCACTGATATAGTTTGAAAAAAAGTCCCATTGGTTTTAATAGATTTTGGATCAATCCTGTCTTCCTAATCCTTCTCTTTCACATCATCATATGAGTTTCCTCCAGAAGGTGTTGATGATCTCTATTGCCAGTGAAGGAAATGGAAGAGAATTGTGTTCATTCCTTCCGTAATTAACCTGTTAATACTATGCCTTTCAGCCACAGAATCATCAGGGAGAGACAATATTTCCTCAATCACCCAGCAGATACCATTCATACCAAGAAAATCCACCTCAACCCAGACAAATAAAAGTGTAATTGTCTCATAAGAAACTCCTTTTTTTAAAAATTTACAATCTTCAGGCAAAATTTGTGCTTCACACCTGTGGAATTCCTGAAAACACTAATTATGCACTTGGAGGAAAAGTATAGTTCTGTATTATGCCAGACAAGTACCTTACTGTTATGGCTGAATGACAAGATAATGATAGATGTTAATCTGACAGTGTACACTGTCACCACACCTCAGTGACTGTGAAACAATAAGATTTCAGTAATTTGATTCAAAGACCAAAAACATATGTGCCTTGATAGAAGCATGGAGGACCATTTTATCATTCATATATTCCCTTACCAATTCCAGAATTTTTGGTGTGCTGCTCACTGAATCAATCTTGATCTTCCACAGCTTCTCATGGAAAATCATTCCATAATGAATGCACTGAGATTCATTTCATTTGCAGAGCATACAGAGTTCATACATGTTGCAAATGTCTGAGGTGATGAATTGATAGTTTGCCAAAATCCCTTCTGCAGTTTGTGTCCCAAAGGGACACAAATTAGAAGTAGCCTTCAGTGGATTTTTGGTGGCTGGATTTGTGTTTAACATCTGGAGGTCTCACCCAGTCCCTCAAGCTGAAAGCAAGCTGGATTCTCTAGGCTGTGCAGTGAACAGAACTATCTGGAGGAATCACTTCCCAGAGGCAGGAACTGGATTTCCAGCTTGGTGTCAGCAAAATGACCATGGTGCCTTCTCTGCCCCACAGGACATACACAATATCTGCACACAGGGACTCCACAGCCATGAATGAAACCCAGCTGGAAGCATGAGGGATCATCTCACCTTCAGCAAAGGAAAACCTGGTGACAAACAACCCTGCTGGCTCAAGGTCCTCTTTCTGTAAATGAATTCAAACATAGTGACAAGTTCATTTCACTCCTTATTCCTATGTACAAGGTACAGTTCTTTCCATCCTGACCAAAATTGTGCATTAGAGTTGGGCAAATATTCTAAGTACTCAGGTTGAAAAAACAGAGAAAATTTGTTTTTATTAACATTTTTCTTTCACTTCAGATGCTCTAAAATATTCTTTTTTGTTCTTAGCACTAACAGAAATGATAGTTTGGGCAATATTTTCCCTCAGGGGAAGGGAAGTATTCATAAAGGCCAGTTTTAGTTTACCAAAGCTAATCTGCCTAAATTCCTGCTGCAGTCACTTGAGGCCTGGAGCACAAGAGAAAAGATTCCTTAGAGGACAAATCTGAGTTGGAGCTTCACTTCTTGGGGCTTGGAATTACCCAGTAGGGAAATATTATCTGACTGGATTTCCCTGGTGAGCATCTCTCCAAATCCTGAGGTACAAGCTGTGTTAAACTCACTTTGACTTCAGTCCTTCAATATTCAGAAATATTTTGATTTTAGTCATGGCAAAGTCAGAGGTGCCACATTCATACACAGGCTCACTTTACAAGATATAGAATAACAAATCCTTACTCAACTATGAATGAGAGGGGAAAGGTCTCTTGCTCAATCTCTAGATTCACTTAGGAGTTATGAATAACTTTGCAATAAAAAAGCAGAACTGGAATGAAGTCAGCCCAAGCCAAACTGAGCAAACCAATATTTCATACATTTTTATCATTCTCTGGCCAAAATTACAATGAAATATGATGGCAATAAGCAGAAAGATTTGATAATAGAATTTTTCACTGTGTATTTTACTCACCACAATTCTTTATGAGATCAATTAATGAGATATAAAATGGCAAAACGTTCCTCAATCCAAACCATGGAACCAGATTCAAATCTGGTGTGGTTGTGAGAAGGGTCACAGCAACAGAGGAGTCTTTCCAAAGTGCAGCTGCAGAGTAATTCTTAAACACTAAGTCCTGCGAGGATGAGGATTAGTAACTATTTGAGAGAATGAAATTCTCTAAGTTCCTAATGCATTCAACAGAAAAACAATGTGTCTTGAAACAACCTGCAGAGCCAAAACAGTTGTGTTGGATAGGAGACATAATTATTCCTATTATCTCCTTTTTATCCTTTGGATTTATCTAAGGGTGAAGGCATCACTACAGATCATAAACTAGAATTTCAGTAAAGGCAGATTTTTAATGCTTAAAATAATGGCTTTGATGTTTCTATGAAATTTCTTCAAGAAGGATATGATTTTATTAAAAATAAGTTAATTGCAAATCAAAGATTGTCCCACACAGATTTGTGCTGACTGTTAAAAAGAACAAAGTTACAAGGGCAAAGTTTTCTTCTGAGTTGCTCCTTTAAGGAAAGAAAGCATTTGTGAAAGAGTTTCAATTACTTTCCTGTTTAATATTTCCTGTTTAATGTTAATTTATCCTACTGTTATTTCAGAATTGTGTTTAAAATGCATTTTCTGCCACAATGAATGGAACTTCTTTTGTAGCTGATCCATGGTGATGTTAATATTGCTTTATACAATAACATCATAAAGGTTTATTCTGATGTTTGTTGGCATGTCCCAACACTCCCATTCTGCAGTTGCTATTTTATCAAATGATATTGAGACTACGTAGCAGAAATATAATTTTATTGAATTTCCTAAGCTGGGTAGAGGAAAGTATTGCTTCCTCCTCTGCAATGCTTTAGCAAAAGAAGTTTGAATAAACACTAACAGAACTTGCAGAGGTACAGAGAGTTGCCATGTTACCTATACAAGGTTTTGTGTTAATTTTTCCCCAGAAGTTGAATCCTTTTGTTTCTACAGACTTTTCAGCATAAGACCAACTTATTCCTTAACTTAACTATGGTTGCAAATTGTGCCCACAAATTGATCTAGAGCAGAAAACATCTTTTACAATATTTGCAGACTTGGTTATGAAGACATTAACAACCTTGCCTGCATTATCCTGAAGCTTTTATTATTTTCTTCATCCAGACAAACTTCTGTTTGTATTTACAGGTGTTTATCATAACTAAGGTGTGATGTAAATCATATGTACAGTGGCCCTATAAATGAGATTAGCTGGAGCAACACTGTTGGTATAATTGTAAGATTGGTATAATTGGTATAATTGGTATAATTGTACTCTGGCCAGATTTAGGGGTAATCCAACTCACAGTTTTTGCATTAACCCTTCCTCTAATTAAAATGAGGAAGTTTTTCTCTTTATTTGTTAAAGTTATGCAATTTCCTTAGAGTTGCTGTTGGGTCATCCCAGAAGTGGATACACACTTGTGGTAGGGCTGAGTTTTATATTTTTAAAGAGTGTAAGATATTTTGGATCTCACTATAGCAAATGTACTAGATACATGTGCTACCTAGAGTTCAGAGGTTTAGTAAACCCTAAATATGAACTTCCAGAAAAATGAGAAACATTTCATATAACTTAAAGATTTTTATTTTCATATTATTTAAAATTTTTTATTTTTTTGTTCAGTGCCATAACTGTTCTTGTCTGAAAACTTAGTTTTTCTATGACTGAACAGTATCTTGCTCTAGAAGAAGCTTTAGGACTCCAGCTTGTGCAGGAGTTAGAGACAAGTTTATGCTGAGCATGTGTTCAAGTGGAAGATGTTCCCCTGAATCAAGCAGGACATGCACATTTCAGCACGCAGTGCTTAATTTAAATGCAGAATCTGAACCTGAGAGCAAATGGATCTCATTGGATTCAACGACAAAAGAGACCTGGAGCACTCTCTTTGTTCACCTGTCTATAAATCAGCTCACACAATTTCTACTCTGTTTGGGATCACAGTGGTAAAGGAATGAGGAGTCTTATTATGGATTCAAATTTTCAAGGTCAACTTTGAATTGATTTGAAGGTTGTAGCCAGATGGTTCTGAAGATAATACTTTGCCACCGATGCTCAGGACAGAGTTTCTTCCTCTACCTGTGCTGAGGCTGATAATTGATTATTATATAAAACTGAGATATGTAAGCTTGGTCTGAGGTCATCAAAAGACAGTGAATCTTTCACTTTCCTGTTCTAGAAATCTTCCAAATCTTTTACAGATTTCAGACTTATGCCATTTTGTGATCTGGGCTTTGTCAAAGCACCAACAATATAAATTCTACTCAGTGTGATGAATGAGTAAGGAATATCACTCTGAAGGAAAATCTCTTTATTGCAATTTCAACATTTCATCCTCCTTCTTATATTAAGAGATTTCCTCTTTTTATGTATAAACATTAAACTAAATGTTTTTCAATGAAAACAGTGCCATCAAGAATAATAGCTATAAATGAGGATCTTTTCTTATGTAACCTTTGTGTGTATTCAGACCGAGCTGCCAAGAGGCAAAATTCTATTTAAATTCACTGTCCACAACTTGAAGGAAGTAACTGACACAGGCTAAGACTCCACTTAGATAATGAGCTGACCTGAACAGCAAGATTGAGAGTCAGAGAGTAATAAGAGCAATACTGTATTTTGAAGTCATAGTGAAATTATGCAAAGCATGTGGATACGGTATTCTTTTTTTTGTCATTTTCACTCAGAGATGACGAATGATTATAAATCTTCTTCTGCAGACTTGGAAATCTGTTGATAATGAAGAAATAACAAGATTTAAAATGCCTGAAGAGACTCTTGAAATAGGAGATTTAAACAAACTTTTATGATGGAAGTTGCAAAAAAAAAAAGTCCTAAAAATGTAAGTTATGGTTGTGGGATTTTGGAAGAGAGTAGGGAGCGTTTGTCCATGCAGGTGAATGCAGCTGTAGCAATTTTTATTTCTAGACCTGTAATAAAAATGAAAAGAACCCAACCAAACAAGTGATTTGTTAAAAATATTTATCACCCACAGCACAAGACTGCTGATAGCAGAAGATTTTTGGCTTTGTGGCATCGAAAGTGAAAGAGAAAATTGATGTGTCCTCATACAAAGAGAGTGTGATTAATGAATGACAGGCACAATGATAGTGAATTGGATTCCTTGGTGGAACTTTTCTCTTGGCTGACAATGCCTTTTAGAGCCTGTCCCATCTCCTCTGTGCAGGGTGTTCTTGGCCATCAGAATAAACCTGAATAGCTGCTAAATGACCAGGCACTTATTTCCCCTCTTATTCTACATTATTCGTTTAATGTTTGTGTTTCTACACCTTCTTCCCACCAGGGAACTTTCAGACACATCAATCTACATCCTTCAGGAAAGCTGCTTTGGCGTTTTTTTAGTCACACTTCCCAGCTCAGGATGTCCCCACATGAGTCTTGCCCTGGGAAGAAGCTCTTGACAAATGATGTTCACCATAACACGAATTTCTCTTCTTCCCTCCTCTCAAGGAAAGTTTGGTTGGTTCCCTCCATATCTGCATTTTCCCAAGTTTCACAAACCTTTGCAGGTGTCTGGGCCCAGGGAAGAACATTTAGCAGCCTGAAACTGGAATCTCTGGAGAGCTGCTGCTGAGCACCACCATTATCATCACCATGTTGACATGTTTGTGAGCTCTTGTGCATCCCATAGTGACCTTTTACATGCTTTGCTTTTCAGGATGGCTCACATTCTCCTTCACTTGGAGCACACAGTGAGGGCTGTTTTTGTAATTGGAATGATCTTCACTTCCCCAGTCTCACTTTGCAGCTGAGGGAGTGGGTCTTGGATATATAAGCCTGAGCAAAACCTTTTGAAATGCAAGATGTAGTCACAGATTTTCACACTCTCATTAATCCTGAACCTACAGGATGCTTCACTAGTTTTGAATAAAGAGCCTTTTCCAGTCACTGACTGCAGTTTTGTGTCTCAGTTGGGTGGAGAACAAAACCCACCTGGTTTGTAGAGATCTGTTCTGAGAGACACGTCCAGTATCAAATCAGCTGACTGCAACAAAGGAAAGAAAGTTCCTGGTAAAGTTTTGGTGGGTTCCCTCAGGCAGTAGGATGGTCATTGGTCTATATTTTGAAGACAGCACCCAAAGGGAGTTTTGGGAGTAGATCTCCTAATCTTTGTGGGATATAGCTAATAAATTTGTGAAATGACAAGTAAA